AGCATCGGCGGACACATACCGGCGAGAAACCTTACAAGTGCAAAATCTGTGAGAAACGTTTTACTCAACGTGGCACACTTAGTGCTCATCTCCGAAGACATGAAAATCTTAAATGATTTTTTCTGTTTCCTCTATTTCTTTTTTTTCTTAAAAATTTGTTACACGACGTACATATTTATACACAGTTGATTAACATTTTATATAATATTATATGTTACATATATATATATATATATATATATATATATATATATACATTTATGTATATACATTATTACTAATTTACTACGAAAAAAAATATTATTTTAATGCCATAATTATACTTTCTATTATTTTATTTTATTATTGCAATGTTTGTTCAATAAATGAGCATTCAATATGCTCCATGTAGCATGTACAATAAAATGATAATAATTACATAAAGTGATAATAATACAAGAATTAAATTTTGTGTTACTGAACAAACTGCATAAGAATATGAACTTAATTATTATGAATTATATATTTCAAAAATTTAAAACGTATTCTTTTTAGTAGCATGAAAATTAAATGCATAAGTTAAGTGGAAAGTTAACTTCACAAATCAGGAAAATTATAAATTTTATTAATATATCCATTTATTTATTCTATTATTTTTCAAATAAAATGTAATGTTTATGTAGATGATTCAGGCTTAAAACTTTCGTACATATATTACTATATGTAATATTATGTGCAATTAAGAAACATTTGTTTTTTCTGTGTATAACTAGAATATTGATTACACAATCAAAACGCATTTTTTCAATGCGGATACTATACAATACTGTATATATTACGTACATATTTTAATAAAAATGTGTTCTCTACTTTATTCTGTATATTATATTCATTATAATTAATATATAATGTTTTCTGCTTTTATTTTTGCTTATTTACTGTAGAGTTTGTTCAAGTGTAATAAAGATTGTAATTTTGTAAAATAGATTATATATACATATATAGGAAGATGAAAAATAAAATATATCTTTACAATAAAATAGAATTTCAAATAATAGATTTTTATTTAGTATAATAATTTAGTATAATAATTAATATATAAATCATCCGAATATTCAAATATAATAGCAATGTCTTTAAGAAAATTCACATCAACAGGAATCGTTTATTATTTAGATTAATTAAACAAATATACTTTTGATAAAAAGAATATAAATATGTATCCTTGTGATAAATACATATGAGATATAAATTGAAAGAAAAAAATTTTTACTTAAATTTTATTAAGTTGAAGTTTATAATATTTGGCCTTGTAAAAGTATGTGATATACATGATTAAAATTTTCTAAAATAATTCAAAGCAATTGCTACAAATAATTTCAAGGAGCAGTGATCTATTTAGGACGTAAATAAATAAATAAAACAACAATAAATAAATAAAAAAACGAGCATTAACAATCAAAATGATCAACACGATTAATTCGAAATGTATATAAGATACATTTTATAAAATTTATCAAGAGTATGAGTCTTGGCTGTACTATCAAGTAAATCGATTATGTATTAAGGACTGTATTTATTTTATATACGTACTTCCTCACGCGTTGTTGACAAATATTATTTATTACAGGTGCGTCGAGATCGACATAGAAGACACAAAGCTGGAACCGATCGACGAGTTGCAAGATATACAATTAGTGCGATATCAGGACGAAGTATCTACAGTGGAAGAGTATCATATCGGTCATCAAGAAATAATTACTGAAACAATCGAATATACGGCTGATGATTCGAATGATAAACTAGAAGATCCTTCATCGAATGAAATAGATATTATAAAACAACTTCCCGGACACGAATCGAGTCGCAAGTGCACGACGATTTACGAGTGTGAAATTTGTGGAAAGCAAATGCTTAAGAAGCTGCAGTTTTTAAAACACAGACAGGATCACAAGAGGAATCCGAAGATCGAGGATCGTTGCGAAGAATGCGATAAGGTTTTCACGAATGAGGAAAAACTACGAAAACATATAATAAAGGCGCATCAGAAGGAGAAACCATTTCAATGCGTTTTATGCGGCAAGTGTTTCAAGACTGAAGAATTCTTGAAGATTCATCTAAAGCAGCATAATAAACGGTTTACCTGCGATATATGCGGTATCTCAAAGGTCTCTGGATACGATTTGCGTCTGCACAAGAAAAAACACAATCAGGAATACGTGACTCATTGTGACATGTGCGGCAAGGGCTTTTATACAAATCAGACATTGGAGCGTCACTTGCTTACGCATACAGGCGAGAAACCGTTCATCTGTAAAATATGTAACATTGCATATGCAAGTGCAGCCTATCTCAATATGCATATGAAGTCCCACGGCGAGAGAGAAAAACACAAATGCAATATCTGCAATTTCGAGAGTTATTGGAAGGCCGCATTGAAAGTGCATCTTAAGATACACACGGGTGAAAATCAGATCACATGCGAAGTATGTGGCAAATCTGTAAGCAGCAAAACGTATCTGCAGATTCACATGCGTATACACTCGGGTGAGAAACCGCACGTTTGTGAGATGTGTGGCAAGGCGTTTAGTGTACGAAAATACTTGATCGTGCATCTGAGAACGCATACCGGCGAAAAACCTTACGAATGTAAGGTGTGTCAGAAAAGATTTACACAGCAGGGTTCGTTAAATTCGCATATAAAATCACATAATGAAAGTAAATGAATAGGACACTTCCCGACTATTTAATTAAGCGTGGACTTCTGCTCTCTAATTTAAATTATTTGATACGATTACAATTGAATATTATTATGTAACTGAAAATTAAATGCGATAATTATGATATTAAAGGAGTATAAGTGCAAATCTTATATTTGTATATATATATATATATATATATATATATATATATATATATATATTAGAATGTTTTTATGATTGAAAATCATTTGAATTATATACCGTCCTATATGATTACCAAATGAAAAACTCAATTCGTGCAATTTGTGGAAACAATTATCGAACAAAGTGCACGTACAATAAATTAATTTTTCATTAGAGATGTGAGACTGATAATTATAAAAAAAAGAAGTAAATGCATTATATAACATTAAAACTTAAAATTTATATATATACACAATTATATATTTTTATTTTGTAAAATATGTTTCGAATATTGACATTGATGTTAGATAAAATCAATAAATATTCGAGAAATAATTTTAAATAGAAAAAATTTTAAAGAGAAGTAATTTTAAGAGAAATAATTTTAAATTTTAAATGTTCGAGAGAAATAATTTTAAATTTTAAATATTCGAGAAATAATTTTGTTAGAGAATTTTTTGCAATTAGAAAAAATATGACACTATAAATATAGATAAATTTTCTGTTTACTTTAAAAAAAATATTTATTACAGAAGTTGAATTAACTGCATATAATAAAGAATTTAGTGGAAAACTTATTTTATATATTGTATTAATAAGTAAATTTATAATTTAACAAAGTATACGCTCTCTATATATTATTTAGAAACAGTTTTATTACTCGCAATTCTAATTTGTTATTAAGCAAAGATATAATAATTTTTGGTATAAAAATAATAGAACAAAGATAAAGTTATACCATACATACATATCTGCAAATAAACATTTTTTTATCCAATATTTTATGATATTTTTTAATTTTATTTTTATACGCGCATAAAGTCAGACAAAATGAAAGTACCGTGTACGTATTTATCGAGGAAAATTGTTGAACAATTTTTTACTTTATGACTTTAATATATAGATCTAGATTATATCTAGACTAAATCTAAATAAGTGTAAATCACTATTTTATTTATATATTACGAACAATATTTATATGTTACGAACAAAATTATTAAATAGTAATTATAATCCTTATATAATAAAATTCATAGTAATTTTATACTATAAAATTTTTTATTTTGGAATTGGATATAAGTAATATCATGAAATTAGAGTATTATGTTAAACACCATAATATATAAATATGTATTAAACTATTATTATTATTAATTTTGTAAAATTGTTAATATTACATATCATAATGTTCTTTCTTTATCAATACTATATGTATTTTGCTGTAATTTTCATTAATCTACATTAGAAATAAAAAATGAACAATAAATACACATCATACATGTGATTGTTTTTGCAATTACGGCTTTATTATTTAATATTTTCTATTTATCTGACAGTTTGTTGAAATTTCATATTAGACATTAAATACTGAAGACTATTAAATAGTGAAGGCTTCATATATAAATGACATATGCTGATGATGGAATGATCGCCAATATGAGAATACTTCACCTGGATTGCAAAAGTTATAATAAAGATTTACTGCAAAGGTATGCATTATTTTGTATTTCAAAGTTGGAAATTTAATGATAGTATTATCTTTATTCACACTTTTCATTTTTTTAAACGAAAGAAAAATATAATGTGAAGGGGAATTAAAATTTTATGAAATATGTGTATATATATATATATATATAATTTATTTTTTAATAAAAAGTATACATATGTATATTTAACTTTGTATATATAGAACTTATAAGTACAATTTAAAACTTCAATTTGTTTTACAAAAAAAAATTATAAACTGAAATTCTTTCGAAAATAAATTTAATTATATAACAATTATTTAGCAATAATAATATATACATACGTATAAGATTAAAAAACAGAAGTGAAATGCTTCTTTCAACATTTATAATCCGTTAAATGATTTTGCATATATATGATTTTAACATATATATTACATATACCAAAAATGTTTTTTTTAAGGAGACAAAAAAAAGCTGTTTTCGTTTATAATAACGTAAATATAATGTGAAAGGCATATCACAAATGAATTCAAGAGGGGAAAGAATATATAAAAATAAATTTAAATAAATAAAAATTCTTTTTTGTAATTTAAATCAAATATTATATGTATAGTTATTGTTTCATTTTCTTTTCAGAAATGAAAAGCCAGCAGAGACGTGTGTAAAAAATGAACTGTCTGTACATGATGAATATATGGATTCTGCGTTGGTTTCCATTTCCATTAAACAAGAAGAAAATATAAAGCAAGAAAAATATAATTTGCCATACAAGATTGTAAATTTGGAACATAATTCTCCTGAGAACATTCAAAATCCGCAATTAACGCAAGAAGAATTTGAAGAAACTACAAATGAAGAAGTTAGTTGCCAAAGTGATTCGAATCTAAAGAAACAATCTACCAACCAAACGTTTTACGAGTGTAATATATGTACAAAGCTTTTTAGATCAAAGAATCTCTTTGAGGGTCATTTAGTGGCGCATAGTGACGCTCGACCCTATCAATGCGATGTTTGCGGCAAATCCTTCAAGAGAACCAATACCTTGGCGGTGCACAGACGAATCCACACTCACGAGAGAAACTTTGTGTGCGATGTGTGCGGTCGCGCGTTCGTGCAAGCCTCTCAGCTGGCCACTCATCACAAACGTCATTTCGAGAAGTACACGAGGCACTGCGAGATTTGTAACAAGGGATTTTTCACAAATGCCGAGCTCCACGGACACATGAATGTGAAACATGGCGCTAAGGAGCACGTATGTACCGCTTGCAACAAGTCATTTCCCAACAATCACACTTTGGTGCGTCACTTGAAGATCCACGATCCTAACTTCAAACCTGTGAAACATCAATGCGAATTCTGCGGCAAGACATTTGCCTACAAGAACTCGCTAGTGGTGCACGTTAAGTCGCACACTGGTGAAAATAAATACGATTGTCACTTGTGTGGTAAATCCGTGTCATCTAAGGGATCTCTTCAAGATCATCTACGTCTTCACGGCGGGGAAAAATCGTTGATTTGCGATGTATGCGGCAAGGCTTTTCACAAGAGAACAACGTTGGTCGTGCACAAGAGAACTCACACCGGCGAGAAGCCTTACTCGTGCGATACCTGTGGAAAATCCTTCACGCAACACTCGACCCTTGTTATACATAAACGATATCACACGGGTCAAAGACCATATCAGTGTAGTTATTGTAGCAAATCTTTTGTATCTAAAGGATTACTAAACGCTCACAATAAAGTACATATGGTTAATGTGATGGTCATGCAGCCAGCATAGTCTTACGGTTTAAATTTTCATTTCTATTGCACTATATCAAGTGTCTTGAGCTAGAAATACCATAGCATAGTGATATTATCAGACTTGTATGGATTCAAACACATTTTGTGAAACAAAATGAAGTGATATTAGTTGATTTTCTTTATTCTAAAGTCGTCGGGATTGAGAATTTTTTTTATAACATTTCTAAGATTTTTTTCTCAATTCTCGTGCTCTATTATTTTAATGGTATGTGCGCAAGAAGAAAATATACGTACTTTGTTTTTCACTTATGCTTTTTTATTCTTTCTTATTAAAGGATAATAAAAGAATAACATAAGAAAATTTTAAATTAGAGGAATATATATACATACATACATATATATATATATATATATATATATATATATATAAAATAGAAACAAGAAGTAATTGCATACTGCCATCTTATAGTTTGATACTATAATAGTGTGTGTGTGTGTGCGTGTGCGTGTGCATGTGCGTGTATGCATGCTTGCGTGTGATTGATTATATATTTAATTTCAATCAAATATTTTTTAGAGAATTAAAATATTACTAACACATATTTATAAATGTCATATTTATAAATTAATCATTTATAAAAAAGAACTAAAGTTTTTTTTTTTACAGAAATTTTCTTTTCTGAAATACTATCTCTAATATATTGAATGGATAGCTTAAATTTTTGCATTATGCATTACACAAATTAGGAATCTGTATCGAAGAATCAATTTAAATTTTGTTATTTTTGGATAATTTATTTGCATTTTTTGTTTTTATTTTTTATGATTTTACATTATAAATTAAATGTCATTTTGTGTTGTATTCAATGAATAGTAAAAAAATTATTATAAAATGTTAGTGAATTTATGTAAAAAATGATTTAATATGCAAAACAGAACTTTGTATTAAATGTTAATAAAATAATCTTTTACAAAAAAAGTAACAGAAAGGACACGTAATGTGTCTATTGTATATGTGGAATATTATAATAAGAATAGCAATTATTTTTTCAAATTAGTATGAGATATACTCCTGCATTATGTATTATTATGAATAAAAGTATTATTCAGAATTACATAATTATATGAAGCTATTTTATCATGTCACTATCTCTTTCACATTTCAAGTATTTTTATACTTTTATGTATGTATGTACAACTTATGTGAATACATTAAGTATTAATTAGTATACCAGTTTTGATTACATATAGCAATATAATGCTGATATTTTTTTACCGAATTATCTGCTTTTTACATTACACATAATTGATACAGCTAAGTTTGGTCGGCAATTTTACTTACAGGAATAAAATAATGTGCTAGGTAACGAGGCAATGAAACAAAGATCGTCGCGACGCAAAAAGGGTATTCGATACTGATATCCCCCTGAATTTTTCAATTCCAGGTACAGCCTACCATTTTCCGAAGAATTTTACCCGATGGAAATATTCTCTAAGCTCGACTTGATGAAGAAGAATAACGAGCGCGCCAAATCCACGTTGAAGTGCGAGGAATCAACGGACACGACTGACGAGGCCGTGGCTTCAACGAATCCTGAACAAAGCGTTATAAAGCAAGAGGTGAACGACGAGGACGACGACGACGATCTACCTTTGGCATATCACTGTAAGCTCTGCGGCGTCTTCTTCGCCTCGCAATCCTTGTTGGATAACCATGAGGTCGAGCACAAAGGTAAGCGGAAGAATACATGCGCTCAATGCGGCCGGGTCTTCAGAACTGGTGTGAGCCTTCGCAAGCACATGAAGATGCATTCGGTACGTAAAAGCGGTCGCAAAAGCAATTCCTCAGCAGTGACTGGCCGTACCACGTCCTTGAAGAAGGTGAAGAAAGAAAAATCCGAACTGGAGTTTGTCTGCAAGACCTGTAACAAAGTCTTTCGGCACAAGAGTAACTATCAAAAGCACTTGTTGCGCCACACCGTAGGAGACCTCCCCTGTAAACACTGCCCTAAGAAATTTCGATTGTTTCGTGATCTAACGAGGCACGAGAAGACGCATTTCTTACCGAGTTACATGTGCAAGGAGTGCGATTACGAGACCACCGTTCTAGCGGCTCTGAGCATTCATATGACGCGACACATGGACAAAGCGGATCTGCCATTCAAGTGCAACGAATGTGACAAGCGTTTCCGGAAGAAGCTCGATCTTCAGGAGCATTATAACATTCACTCGGGCGAAAAACCATTCGTCTGTCAACTCTGCAACAACGCCTTCTATCTCAGACGACAGCTCTCCGCGCACTGTAGACGCACGCATCCCGAATTGAAAGCAAACAAGGTGACCAGCACCGCTTGTGATATCTGCGGCCGCGTACTCGCCACGAAAAGATCGCTCTTCCGGCACAAGGAGAGCCACAATCCGACGAAGCTCTATCTCTGCGATTATTGCGGCAAGAGTCTCAGTAGCGCTGAGCACCTGAAAAAGCATCGACGGATTCATACGGGAGAGAAACCATACGTCTGCGATATCTGCGGAAAAGGTTTTACCGATTCTGAAAATCTGAGAATGCACAGAAGGGTGCACACAGGGGAGAAACCATACAAATGCGATCAATGTCCGAAAGCGTTTTCGCAGAGATCGACGTTGACAATTCACAGACGCGGACACACCGGAGAACGACCCTACGTTTGTCAGATATGCAACCGTGGATTCTCCTGCCAGGGTAACTTGACGGCCCACCAGAAGTCTACCTGCGTCTAAGCCTTGACGAACCTTTTTTTCTGTGCTTAAAACTCTTGTTGGTGCCGCGTTGACGATTAAACTATGACGACCACATTTAACGATAAGAATAGCGTGATAGTATACGTGATTATTACGTTGTTACTTATGTATTGTGACAACAGAAGAGACTGGAAGAACTTTTTATCATATAGATTATATATAGTATATAGTATATATATACGTAGATATATATATATACTATGACTATGTTGAGCAACGTCAATGAAACGATGTTGAATCGATACTTGTCGATACAAAAATCTCTACGATATCTTTTGTATACTGGTTATAATATTTGCGTGCTCAAAAGACAAAGTTACGCGCGATTTTATCCGTTTGGTTTTATGAATTAAACCTTTGTACTATCCGTGCTCAAAGTGTTCCGTTACGAATATATTGTTGTTCTATTTTTTCAGTGTAGATAGGTAAGAATATCTTGTAAGTCGAACACAATGCCAATGCTGTTGAACAAAAAAACAATTCGTTTTTATCATTTTTCTCTCGTTTCTTTTTTTTTTAATTTTACACAGGCGAGATAGTAACACTCCAAGCTTGCTCGTTCGAATAAAGCATCGATAAATTTATGTTAATGATCATTGACGATTCGTTATTATACGTTTAATAAAATATCTCGTACATCAAAGGTGTATGACTACGAAACTGTTTTATCGATTAAATTAGTTCCTTAATCTTGAAGCGAACGAGCATTATTTTCTTCCCAACACTATTATATAGATTGCGAAATTAATCCTTGTGTCATTTATTCTCGTAAGATACTCCAGATGGTCAAGAGAAGATATCAACGAACGACATGGTGACGTGACTGCGTATAACATGCTGAAAACTTACTGTTGTTTCTTACAGAATCCTCGAGGTCCAAATGTTGATAGGACGTGATACCAAGGTTGATGAAGAAGAATTCGAGAGGCACAACCACGCGCGATTAGAAATAGATTCCAGTTCAATGACACAAGGTATACCGAACGTAAGCAGAAAAAATGAAGAAGAGGAAGCAACGTTAAAGAAACCTTCTGAAGTGATACGTCGAAAAGGGGAAACATATCACGACATCGGAGACACTTTGATTAACGCAACGGGAAAAAAATTCAGAAGAAAAGAGGAACGGACGACGTACGAATGTTCTATGTGTAGAGTGTACTTTACTCGGCAAGGAGAATTCAAACGTCACATGGTGAAGCACAGCGACGTACGTCCGTACAAATGTACCGTTTGCGAGCGAGCCTTCAAACGTTCGTCGGAAGTGATGAGCCACATGCAAATCCACAGCGGCGTCAAGTATGCCTGCGAAACGTGCGATTTCACGACGATGAATAAAGTTTCTCTGAAGACTCACATTCGACGAGTGCATCGGCGCGACTTTAGATACCATTGCGAGCAATGCGGCAAGGGATTTATGTCGAATTACGATCTCCAGGATCACAAGGCGAGCCACTTGAACGCCAAAACCTTCGTATGCGAGTACTGCGGGAACACTTATTCGCAAAAATCGTACCTGGTTGCGCACAAGCGCGTGATTCACCGGATACAGAAGACCGCGCCGAAGCAGCATCGGTGCGAGCATTGTAGCAAGAGCTTCGCCTCGGAGTACAGTCTTCGTAATCACGCGAGTTTACACTCGCAGAGGTTCCTTTGCGCCCAGTGCGGCAAAGAGTTCGCGACGAATCACGCGCTGAATCTTCATACTCGCATGCACACTGGTGAGCGACCCTATCAGTGCAAGCTGTGTGCGAAAGCCTTCGCGAGATCCGCGGCTCTTAGGGTGCACAAGCTCACGCATACAGGCGAGAGACCGTATGTATGCGATCTCTGTGGCCAGAGTTTCACGCAACGCAGTAGCATGATGGTGCATCGTCGCAAACATCCCGGCAGTCACCCACCACCGCCACCGTTGCTACTCAGTCGACTTGAGTTTAATACCCAAAAGTCAAATTAACTGGGTACGAATTCAAATTAGAAGATTAGTGAAAAGATAAAAAAGTTTATTCATCTTGAATTCATATACTACATAGTTAGGTTTATATAAAACATAATATGGAAATTATTGACAAAATTAAGTGAAAGTGAAACTTACCATAATCTTATTTGTAGTTTGAAATATGTTTTTAATTATATAGATATTTGATCTGTGTTAATTTTTCGAAAATTGTAAAATTTTATGAATTTTAACAAATCTCAATTACTGATTTCATTAATATTCTTTGTGATTACTGAAGATTCTAAATTTTTACATTGCGATAAGTGCTGCATTTGTACTGATTGACATTAATGGATGTTTCAGGGGACGATGGACCACAGTGTGGGATGGTGAAAAGTATCGAAAAGTGATTGTACTGTATAATAACGTCGTAGCAGAGGCAACTTCTGAAAAGAATATGAAAAAGTGCGATGGATCAACAGAAAGGTACATAGAAAATAAATGGCAACAAAGCATGGAAGAAGAAAATAAAAGGAGAGAGTTTGGTACACTGATAGAAATAAATCAAAATTTATCAAATAAAGGAAAAATAAAGTCTGTAACGGAAATATCCTCTGAAGACGCTATAAAGAACGAAAAGAATGAAGAAAATGTGGATCGAGTATTAGAAGAGCAGAATACATGTCCGTTGTGCTTAAAGCATTACTCTCATGAGAAAAGTTTGAGAAGACATATTGCAGGGAGCCATCAGGAAAGAGCGTATAAATGCGATAAATGCCACGCGTCGTATAATATTAAACAAGATCTAGAAAGACATTGTAAAATTCATAATGATGATTATTTCTTCGAGTGTGATGTATGTCATTTGAAGTATAAGCGAGAGGTATCATTGAAGCGTCATCAAGTGCGAGTGCATAGTGACATCGCTGCTCAGTTTACCTGCGATTCCTGTGGACAATCGTTCAAAATAAAGGTAGATCTTCTTCAACATATCAACAGGAAGCATAATATCAACACTCATATATGCCGATATTGCGGAAAGTCCGTGACGGATCTCAGGAATCACGAATGGAAACATAAGAAACGTGCTGAGATGGCCAGCTTGAAGTTTTCGTGCCATTTGTGTATCGCAAAATTTCAGAATCAGACTCGCCTAGACAATCATTTATTGTTGCATAAGCGAGGCTATAAGTGTAGCGAGTGTAATGTAATTGTCATTTCGTCGCACCAATTAAGATATCATAAGAATCGGATGCACAAGTCGGGCACGACCTGTCCGATTTGCAAGAAAGTATTTTTAAACGGTAACAACTTTTATCAACATGTTCTTACACATGCCGGCATTCGACCTTACAGCTGTGATATCTGCAGCGAAGATTTCACCCAGCGCTCCAGTCTCTTTCGGCATCGAAAAAATCATTCCGGTCCTCTTCCACCTTATACATCGCAGATTCCTATTGCCAATTTAGCTAAGAACGTTTTGGAGAAACTAAAACAATAATGCAGCAGTTTATTAAAAGATACAATAAATAGTGTCATCTGCGCAAGAAAAGACTTCTGACCTCCAGATTTGAAGATACCGTATTATAATGTGTGTAATTTCTCAAAAATATGTTTTTCAAAACATACGTTTGTCGATCAAATCTGAGAATATAAATATAAGAAAGACACATACACACACTGTGAGAGAATATTTACTTATCTTAATATATATAGGTTGTAATTATAATATTTAATTTGGAAGAATATGCTCTCTCTAAAAGATAGCATATCTACTTGCGAAAAGACTGATTCATTTTTTTGGAATAGATAGAAAAATTATTATTTCTAATTACAATTATTTAAAAAAAAATTTCTTAAATATTTTTTTTCGGTGAAAAATTCAAAATTAAAAAATAACTATCTTTTCTAAAAAATTAAAAAGTATCTTTTTTATCATAAGCTACGTAAAAATATTTCTCGTGAAAAAGATATAAATATAAATTTCAAATAATTAAAAATATATACATATCTGGATTAGTTAATGCGATATAATAATGTCAATAATAACATAGTAAATATGATTTTAAATTATTTTTGAACGGTATATCACCGTTTGTAACTGAATGAAACTTAATAAAGAAGTGTTGTATTTTTATAGAAAAATTTTCTTTTTGTGAATTAATATTTATTACAAATATAATAATTAATCTGTGCGTGTAATTTATATAAGATTTATGTGCAATATTTTCCTTGTTGCATAATAATCATTATTTTGATCAAGGAAGAATATCTACTTCATCTTTTACATCATAAAAGTAAGTTTATATCATGACAATTTGATTATGATTGACTTTGTATTACCAAAATAATACCAATGAGTATGTTCGTTTCTGATCGTATTCCTGGATGAAATAATGCAAATGTAACATTTTCATATAAAACAAACTGTGATGCATAATTTGCTGATATTATAATTTATGTAAATGTTTTCCGGTAATTAATAGAATCGATTATGATAGCCGAGTAGTATAATAATAGTAAGATTACATATCTATTTCTAGGAAGTCTTTTTCTTATACAACAATTATTTTTTAGTTCACTGTTATTTGATATATACTTAGAAAACGTCGATTATCGATACTTTATACACTAACAAAACTTTCCCTGTTTCAGGGAAAAGCCTATCATCAGGCAGAAAGGAGGGCAATGTCGAAAAGGATCTATTCGTTTAGTCCCCATTTTATTGGGCTCGTGGAAAACTGTTGAAAATGAATATAATTTCATGAAGACAAGCAGAAGAGTTAATTCTGCTACAGCTCAGTATCAAAATGAGAATAAATCGATTAATTTAGATTTGTCATTAAATTCACAGAATTCTGCAAATGCTCTCAAAGGCAACAATGTTTTAACTAAGGTGAACTCTTTCTTGAGCAGAGAAAAATCGTCACAAAATGTTAGCTCAGCAAATTCATACAAGGATATGACCGAAATGGATGTAGTTATGGAAAATGTAAGAAATACGTGTCCATTTTGCGAGAAACATTTCGGCAACGCGAAGAAAGTCGAGCGACACGTCAGATACGTACATCGCAAGCCTTATCAATGTAATAAATGTAAGAGAACTTGCTACACGCCAAGAGCATTAGAAGAACACAAGAGGATACATCGACCGGATTATTTTTTCGAGTGTAAGATCTGCCATGTGAAGTATAAGAGCAGAGAGGGACTGAAGAGACATTATATTCGCATTCATAGCGATCACGAGTCAAAATTTATTTGCGAGCACTGCGGTCGCAGTTATAAATTAAAGATCGATCTGACGCATCACATGAAGAGAACCCACATATCGCAGTTGCAAATTTGCCGCTTCTGTGGTAAAGAGGTCAAAGACGTGAAGGGCCACGAGTGGCGGCATCAGAAGAGAAATCGCGAGATCAAGTACGAGTACTCATGTCACTTGTGCCGTAAAAAGTTCCATCATAGAAGTAGACTGGACAGTCATCTGATGTTACACGAGAAAGGCTTCAAGTGCGAGGAATGCGGCAAGGAGTACGCTGGCACACGCGAACTTATGAGCCACAAACGTTTCAAGCATGGCCAGACGCACATCTCCACTTGCATCTTGTGTCAAAAGACATTTCCTTCCATCAGCAATTTCTATCAGCATGTGCTCACGCATGCCGGTATACGACCATACAAGTGCGACATTTGCGAGGAAGATTTCACACAGCGCTCAAGTTTATTGAGACACAGAAGAAATCATCCAGGACCATTGCCACCATTATCGTCGACGCATCCGCAGATAGCTGAGCTCGCCAGAAATTATCTCCAAAAAGTTCAAAGCGACTATATCGAATTCGACAAGAGTTTCGTATTGAATGCTCGATCATGATCATCAACAGAGGCATGTAAAATTAAATTGT